TGTGTGTGTGTGTGTGTGTGTGTGTGTGTGTGTGTGTGTGTGTGAGAGAGAGAGAGAGAGAGAGAGAGAGAGAGAGAGAGAGAGAGAAAGAGGTTCACTACTGCGGGCCAGAACTCCAACAAACATCTCATGCGAGACAGACATTGACTCGCAGTAGTGAACCTCAAGCTGTTGGACAGGGAAAGACGCAGCGACAGAGAGCGGTTCACTACTGCGGGCCAGAACGACAACAAACAGCACCGGTTGACACTGATATGGCACGCAGTAGTGAACCACAAGTAGTTGGAAACGCAAAGACGCAGCACCACCGAGAGGTTCACTACTGCGGGTCAGAACTCCAACAAACATCTCATGCGAGACAGAAATTTGGCCCGCAGTAGTGAACCTTACGCTGTTGGACAGGGAAAGAGGCGGCGACAGATGGCGGTTCACAACTGCGGGCCAGAACAACAACAAACAGCAAGAGGTGGACAGTGACATGGCACGCAGTAGTGAACCACAAGTATGTCAGTACGGGAAAAGGCTGCGAACATTATAGACAGAAAAGTGTGGACGAAGAAGTTGTAATACAGGCAGCAATAAACATACATAATAGTGTGTGTGTGTGTGTGTGTGTGTGTGAGAGAGAGAGAAAAAGAGAGAGAGAGAGAGAGAGAGAGAGAGAGAGAGAGAGAGAGAGAGAGAGAGAGAGAAAGAGAGAGAGAGAGAGATCACGCATCCCTGACCTCCCGCGCAGCCACGATTTGACATCTTGTGTAGAGAGTTTTTAAGCGGTCATTGATGTGAAGTCCTTTCCTGCAATGCTCACATTCGTTATTCCCTCCATGCTGGCCTGCGTTCGTTACGACATGTACCATTATCTCTTTGATGTACGATATGAGATGGAACAGACAGTCCGCAATCAGCGTCGCCATTTGTCGCGAATTCGCTTCTGCAACGAACTTTTGAAATGCGTTCGTCGTCATAGGCAGCGCAACAGATTCTGCATCAGCACAAGGTGTTTTGATAGCGACGACACATGGGAAGTTGTGATGAACGTGGTGACAATTCAGTGTGCCAACATCGGTGCACGTCAGCAGGGCATGCAGCGCAGGCGCGCAGTCCCCGACAGTGGTCCCAATTCCTGTGGAGGTTTGCATTGTTGTGTGGATTTCTTCACCTGCCTTCGTCCTTTCACCTTCTGCACTTCCCATGACAACTTTGTTCGCACAAGTCACCGTCATTTCGCCATCCAACAACCTACCTCGTGTGTATTGCAGGGCATCAATGATGTCCGAGCAACCATTCAACAGAGACGTGATATAACAAGGAAGGTCATCCTTACCAATCGCGACACCCTCATCACAGAGACCGTACTCGTCTACGGTTTCCTTACAGTGGCGAATACAGTCTGTTGCGAAGGCCAAAAGGTCGATGACAATGCGTGACGAAGCAGTTAGTGAACCCGTATTATATTCTTGGCTATCATACGATGCCCACCCCTCCTTCAACACACACTTTTCAGGGATGCCACAAGATGCGACATCAAGTCTTTGTGATTCCCTGTGAGTTTTCTTTGTGACGTGGGCGGTGAACCGATTCAAGACCGCGGTGCGCCTGTGTCTTTCACCATCCAACCATGTCTGGAACTCGTCAAACGTGGTGGTCTTCGTTTCAGTTATTGCCTTCAGTCTGGCAGTCATGTCCTCCCTCAGACGAGTTATGTCTAAACACTTTGGATCGTCTAGCAACAACCAGAACACAGTGAACAACCTGTGTTCCGCAGTTTCTGTCATTTCTACGAGCAGTGACTTAATACGGCTTAGTTCGTCTAACATCTGTCTCGCCAATTATTTCTGCTTATCTACCTCGTTTGTTAGCCTGTCTATATGTTCTCGCTGCTTCTCTACTATCTCATCCCAATTCCGATCCATCTCAGTCGTCTTCTCTTCCTTGCCCCCAGTAGTAGAAAGTGATCCGCCGTTGCATCACACTCTTCGCCTGACTTTCTCTTCTGTCCGGTTTTGACCAATCTTGACATCTGGAAATATATGTACATACAGAGAACTTCAGAGAGAGAGAGAGAGAGAGAGAGAGAGAGAGAGAGAGAGAGAGAGGCAGAGACAGACCCTCACTACTTCCATAGTTGTTGTCAGCGGGCGCCTACCAAAGATTGGCTATATATACGTGGCAACATACATTGTTATTTATTACTTTACATCTGTGTTTCCCCCGTACATGACTCGATATAAAAGTGGACAACACAACTTAACAAATACAAAACAGACCATTCTTTCCAAACGCATCCGTCGGAATGAGGGAGTGAGAGAGATAGAGATGCAGGAAAGAAAGAATGGAGAGAGAGAGAGAGAGAGAGAGAGAGAGAGAGAGACGTCACAAACAAAGAAAGAAAGAACCGTCCGACAAAACTAAAATATATGGAGTTCGCTACTGCGGGCCAAAATCACACTTATGTACCTCGTTCAATGGGTTTGTGGCCCGCAGTAGTGAACTCTCTCTCTGCCATGTTACAGAGTCACCTCCCCGATCGCTCCTCACCATGGAAAAAGAGATACGGTTGCTGCGTCTAGGGGCGGAGATACAGGGTCCGGAACCCCCTGGGTCCTTCGGAAGCCTCGCTGTTTGACGTCGGAATAAAGATCGCTGAAAAATCGGTGGACCCCGCGGATGGGATAACCCTCGAAGAACACGTGGCTATCCGCGAAGAGGAAGCTCAGATGGTGGTCACTGTGTTCTCGTGGCGGTCGGGCAACTCTTTCATCTCTTCCTCGCTGCCCCGGGACTCAAAAGTCATACGCACCAAACACGTTACGGTCGTTTTTCACGAACAACCCTATGAATTACACATGCCAGAATAGGTTCCCGACGAAACCCATATACTCGTAGCCGAAATCCTAACAGAATATCGGGGTGCTATCAGCGTTGATGACACGGATATAGGATTATCTTGATAATCCAGCATGAGATTCATAACGGTACCCACCCGCCGATTCATTGCAAGCCTTATCGGTACTCGCTGGGGGAACGGAAGGCAGCACTCGAGCGCATCCGTGAGTTCGAAGCTAACGGTTGAATAGAGTCCGCTACGGGACCTTGGTCCTTTCCGGTAGTTTTGGTCCCGAAGAAGAATGGATCGATCCATATATGCATCGATTATCGGAAATTGAATGATATCATGATCAAGGATGTATATCCCCTCCCTCGGATTGACGATTTGCTGGATGCCATTGGGTGTGCCAACTATTTTACTAAATTTGATATTCGGCACGCGTTCCACCATATCCTTGTACGAGAAGAGGATCGGTCGAAAATGGCGTTTGTATTATTTGGAGGCACGTGGCAGTGAGTTCGTTGTCCTATGGGTATATGCAATGCACCGGCCACCTTTCAAAGAGCGATGAATGTCACCTTTTAGAACTTCGTGAACAAGACTAGGTTAACTCAAGGAATGATAAACTTTTGCGTCATCGTGTACGTGGACGACATTTTGGTGTATTCTGAATCGTTTCATGGACACACGCATCACATTGAATGAACACTTGTCGCGCTGCGAGATGCTGGTTTCAAGATCGCATTGGAGAAGAGCAAATTTTTCCTGTCTGAGATCTCGTTCCTAGGTTACGTAGTAACCTAAGGAGGCTTGAAGCCGGATTCGAGGAAAGTCGAGGCAGTTCGGGGAGCACCCACACCCATGTCATTGACGCAAGTTCGAGCCTTCCTGGGACTGACTTCGTACTATCGGCCGTTTATCAAGGGATTCGCGGCAATCGCTCGGCCTCTGACGAACCTCCTGCGGAAGGACCAACCGCTGAACTGGGAC